GCGCCGCCGACATAATTGGCGATTATTCTGTATTTAAACGCGTGGCGCGCACTTTTCGCGGAGTCTGTCTCGTTTTTAATGATATTTTTAAATATTATAAAAGAGAACACCTTTTTCGTCGCGTTATCATTCCAAATTTCCGTCACGATTCACGATCAAAGGAAGATTGATGGCAATCATCGATGTTTTAATCAATGATTTTTTTTATTAATCTTTAAAAGGTCGGACTGGCCACTATAGCGGCCAGTAACAGAAGTCTGTATAACTTGAATCATTGCAGCCCATCAAATATTCAAATATTATTTCATTAATATAATTGAGAATGTGTTTTGAAGATTTTCATATAATACAGACTTTGCTATAAATTCCAATATTTTCACTTGATAGGTGGAAAATGATAATTAGCAAAAAATAATATAAATAAAAAATAAATAAAAATAAATAAAAAAATTAAAAATAAAAAAATAAATAAATAAAAATGTAAAAAAAAACGGAAAAGAGGGACTGCATAACTTTCTACGTCCATGTAGTTAGTTCTGGATTAAGCTAAAGGAAAGTTTCATATGTACATAAATGTCTATGTTATTCAATTCGACTTATCTAGACTTATCTAGGTAAATAACACTATTTCTACATAAAATTTCGATAATCTGACTTCAGAAACGTGTTCTGCGACATCAAAAATACTTAGAAATATAAAAACAAAAAATGAAAATTTTTCAAAAATTTTCCACATTGGCCATTCCGTTGCGGACTGGTCACTATAGTGGCCAGCGGAAAACTCGTCGACTCCTCGTGACATAAACATTCAATATATACATGAATTTTACATTTAAAAATTCAAAATTTTAAGATGCCTTGAAATTTTGGCCCTCTAAAAGTTAATAACGCTATCTATATGTTGCAAAAAGACAAGGGGAAAGTACACGATTAAAGTTTTTAAAAAGACACTCTGTTATTCAATGATTACTGTGTTCAGTAATTGGATTCTCTCTGTTAAAGATTTTTTACTTTTTAAATTTATATCTATTAAATTAATATTATAATTAACCTTCAGGTACACATATTTTTACTTATTTCGTAGGTACACTGGATTTTTTGTCAGGCCCAAATTTTTTTATTGTTCTAGGCTTTTAGAAAATCTAGAAAAATTCAAGATGACTTTCAACATCTCTGCTACTTTCTAAAGGTAAATTAGTGCATTATTACTGACTTCAATACTATACTTATAACTGATGTAATCGTTAGCGAATATTTACTGTTTTTGGTAACAACACACTGATTCACTTTTAGAGGTTATAATTTCTGCAGATTGAAATGCATTTTAATCTACAGAAAATCACAACCTCTAAAAGTAAATTTCTTTCACTGATGATTACATCGCAGTTATAAATGTAACATTGAAGTCACTGATTCACTTTTAGAGAGTACATTGCCAAATAGTTATTCAACTCAAATATTAAAACTTTTATTTATAATAAAAATTTGTGTCAAAAAATTTGAGTGAATTTTGCTTGAGTAAAAAAAGACCTTGTGCATACGAAGGATAAATAATGTCAACGTCACGATATATATATCGAGTTAGCTGTTTGTAACATAATATAGATAATAAAATTCTCCGTTGGTAATGTGAAATTTTTCCTTTCATCCGCAATCTCCTTCGAACTTCAACGTAAATTTTTACATTGTTCCAAACTGTATAAAAATCCTAAAGAATTCTTGCATACTATGAAAGCTTTAATATCGAGTTTTTACTATCATAAAAGTTGGATTGTATTTTACTTATTTTTATACAGATTTAAATTTATCTACACGAATTCACAATAAAAAAAATCGACTATGTCTTTCAAGTCCAACATTTGTCAGCAAAGGATTAATTTGAGATTGAGCTTAATTTTAAGCAATTTATTTAAACTAAACGGCGTTTAAATCAAATACATAAACAAAGGGCCAATATATAAGGTTGAGGTTGAATATTTAGTGTCTAATAATATTTTTAAATATCGATTCTAAATCTACATCTTTGAGTTATATAAACTACGTCGTTCACTGTCAGACTTGAAACGCAATCATATATATAAACTGAAATTGAAATAATAATATCACAATTAAATTGATCGTCGATCATACTGATGCTACTAGCATTTTAAACTGTTAAACACTAAAGAACTTATTGGTTACTGAAAGCAAAAAACTTTCTGAAATGTGTATTTAGAATTTACATTCAAAAATACTAGGTACCAAAAATCTGGTCTCAACCTTTGGCCTTTTTCTTACTTATGTGATTTATTCATATAACTGTCTAGATTATTATTGCTAACGGTTTGTTGTTGCAATTATTAACATATAGATAATACCATTGGTGAAACGCTCGCAGTACCGACAATACAACCTCGAAGTTTGTCGTTACTCTAACCAGCTTTGTCATACAATACCCGATCGTACGTGTGAGATATACCTGAGGACTTTATTGTTAAGATCGAAAGACTTCTCTTCCACACGAATTTACACTTGATAAGTCAGTCACGCACGACGTTTAATATCCGCCTGTTGCGTGCATGGAAAGAACAGTTTTACTGAAACATCTTAAATTTTAACTAGATACAGATTTGAAAATAATTTTGTTTGAAGCATCAAAATAATTATGTAGGACACTTATAAACTGATTATTAGAATATTAAAACTTTTTACAGCATTATCATCAACGCTTAGCGATCTACATAATTATTTTGATGGTCTAATAAAATAATTTTCTTATTTTCAGATCTGTATCGAGCTAAATATTCAAATACTTTAGCAAAACCATTCTTTCAGTGTGATAATTACTTGCTTTAAAGTTGACGTAAATTAATATTAATTTATTTTATTTTTTGTTTATTGTGTATATTAGAATTACATTTTAGAGTTATATTTATACTTATATTGAAAGAATGCAGAAAGAGTGCAGAAATAACCAAATATATAAAAGGTGAGGCATCAGCAATGAACTACTGTTATTAAGCCTATCAAAACGATTCTAACAGTAGATAGATAGATAGGTAGTATGAAATATCACAAGATAATATAAGGTATATGACAGAGCTTACATATCAAGTATTTTCAATATAATGCGAAAACATAAAACAAAATATTTATAACAATAAGATTGCAGAAAGAAAAAGAACAAGTCGCAATTAACTATGATTTGATGACGAAAAATTAGCCACCCTCACGAAAAGAAGATATGGAGAAAGAAAAGCGAATAGAGAGAGGTAGTATATTGCAATACTTGGTGGATATGTAGGAAAACGGAGCTCTGAATTTGGCGGAGCGATGGAAATAAGAGAGAATAAGGAATTGTGGTAACGAGTGTTTGGAGTGGAACGGGAATGGAAGTCGGAGTACCTACAGTGAATAAAATTACGTAGATAAAGAGGAGTGTTAGAGCGGAGAAGACGGTAAACAAGACAACATAAATGGAGAATAAAACATTGTTGGATTTTTAATCAACCGGAGCTTTGATACCTATAATAGAGAAATAAAGTCATATTTGCGGATATTATAAGAAAAATGGAAACAGGAATTTTGTATACACTGAATTCCTGTTTTCATTTTTCTTATAATATGTGAAACATTTGTTGAGTCAAAACCGGAATATAGACTATCAGCGTAGTCGAATAAGATTACAAGGAGTTACAAGCTTTCTGTGAGGTTGAAAGGTTGTGACGAAAAGGATATAAGAGGCGAAGGTATAAGAAAGTTACCCGATACTTGACATGATTAAATACATTAAGTAACCACGAGGAATCAAAATAAACACCGTATTTTTAATGACCCATGTGATTCATGACACATGCCAGTAACTTTGCAAATGATTTACAAAGAGATGCATGTCCCAAGCAGCGAAAACTCAGAAGACCTTCGATCAACCTTAATTTTTGAAGAATATATACTATTTAGCGATATAATTATTCCAATTTGAAATGTAATTATCACTGATGATTCGTCATAAACAATCAAGCTACGCTTATATTATAAAGGTTGTATTAACATATCTTTTTACGACAAAATAATGAGGAAGATATGTAGGGGCAACTTAGAGGAATTCAGTAAAGAGTGTGAGATACATTTTTCAAACGTGTCATCTTTTCTATTTGCCCGCCAGATACATTTTTCAACGCATTTTCTGAATAAATTTGGACTTCGTCTCCGATAAAAAATCTCACGCGCCCATTTCTAATTATAAAACCACGTGCGTCGACAGAAAAATGAGATGGAAATTAACTGGCGAGTAATGGCAGTTGCTTGCATAAATTATTAATCGTTCGTGAACGTATTGTTTTGCAGAATTAATTTCATACATATCAAACATGCGTGTGCACAGCACCTTTTAGTGATAAAAGATTTGTTATTTTTTATCTTTTATTTTTCGCTATAATCGCTTTTCCTTTCGCTTTTGCAGGATGGTGCTGGTGGTGGGCGGGGTGGTCCTGCAGGAAGAGATTCCTGCGGACAGCAGATCCTTGTACGCGGCTCATCCGGTATATCGTGAGAGCGCGGCTCAGCTGCACTCGATGCCGGCGAAGCTTGTGGGTCCGGTGGGCCTCCTTTACGTTCAACAACGAGAAATGGCTGCGACGCTGCCGCACGACAGTAAGTATTACAATGCATCTCGATGCGCTACGTCAAACTGGGTCTAAGAAAACGAGCGCAAATACACACGAACGAACAACTTGCTTCAATGAATGTGGCGTCGCTGACGTTCGTGCTTGTTCGCGCGCTTATACTCCTTTTTATTAAGTAGTGAATCAAACTATTTTATAATTTCACAGTGTTTATCCGGTCGACCGTCTGCAAGATTTCTCAAAAACGGCTTAACTTTTTCAAATTGTGTATTTGGCAATAGATACCTAAGGTCCTTACCGAGTCAAATTAGTTGATCGTAAGATAATATACAGAAATTTCACTCAGGTGCACCCAGATATCATTTTATCCTTGTTCAACATTCGGTAAACAATAAGGATAAATATCTGGGAGAACCTGGATGTGGTTTCTGAACCAAGGAGGTCAAAGTCAATTTTAGCAAAATTTTTCCAATCGTATAGTTATAGGGTGCTGCACTACCAGCACTACGTATACAATAGTTATATCCGTTGCAAAGAGTTTATTTTTAAATTAGATCATATCTTACTTCCATTTTTCTCCTCAAATTACACTTTTGCTCACATAAAACGTGTGTATATGATATATAAATGTATGTGAGTGTCCACAGTATATTGAGATCGACTTGGGTTCGCTAGACTCAAATCACCAAATGTGAATCAATCATTCCTGCGGGAGAGAGAAGCTTTTTCAAAAATTATAATCTCTCGCGGTATCTAACGGAGAGAATATGTTATTGATGCAACAGCCACGCGATTTCCATGTTATCTCGTAAGGAGATATCAAATGTTACCGGCTACTTTTGACACGATATCGCGGGATTGACGCAATCCGTCAACCTACCAGCTGTGATTACGCTTAATTACGAAAATAAAAAAAACAACCGCGCGAACGATAAATCAACGGATACCGAGTATTATTTTGCGCTTTATCGAGCAACTGTTTATAATGTAAAATTACAGTCCAATTTTTCAGATGGTGTAACTTTCAAAAATAACCGAGATTCGGTATTATGCAGCAATAACAACAGTGCAGTAAATCTTGTAACGAGGCATATCTTTCTACACATATTTCATTAAATCTGGATGAATCTGGTAATGTTTCGTAATGACGATTTTCTTATCTTTTTCTCGGAACATATAATAAATCTTTATCAGTAATCTTTATCAGCAAATAAAAAATTATCGCTTAAAAAACTACTATGTATGTAACGTAGTGTAATGTATAATGTAATATCTTATGTTAAATCGACGAATTTTGTGTTTGTCTTTAAAAAGCTTGTATTTATCTTTAAAAAAATATCTTTTAATTTTACAATTTTTTTACGGCGCGTGACAGTACAATAAACAGTAGTTGAGAAAAGATGGAAGCAAGATATAACTTAATTTAAGAATAATAAGAAGTGGAGTAAGAACGTTATTTCCCTTGTAAACATGAAAGAGATCTTAATATCTTTCTCTATAAAATAACAATTGGCAGAATTTATTTTTGAAATGCGAAAATTTATCTTATATAATTATGGAAAGTTCTTGCCATGTATGGACGAATGAACCTAACAATCTGCAGCCTTTCGAAGCACTGTATTCGCTCGAACATGTGCAGACCGAATAGACTAAATGTATGTTGCCGTACCGATTATTCTTTTTTACCTTCACAGAGAACGTGAGCATCCTCGGTTCGGACGACATGACCACATGCATAATCGTTGTCGTCAGGCATTCCGGTGAGTATATTTGAAAGTACAATCGTGCTCATTATAAAATAGCTGCCAGTTGCATATAAATGACCGCTTACGGCACGACAATGAAAAAAAAAAAGAGGTCGGAATAACGCAATGACGAAGCGCGATTGCTTGATCAGTATCGCGTTGTTGAAAAATATTTAATACGAAACTCATAGAACTTCGTAATGTAATAACCGATCTCTCTTTTAACATACACGTCAGATTCTTAAATTGAAGTTAATTTCTTTAAGAAAGAGAGAAATACGTAGAAAATCTTTTTGTTGAAAGATTTTTATTCTGTAAATTAAAGAGTTTTGATGAAATTTTATTAATTATTATTATTTGATTAAATATCAGGAATCTCATTGACGCGAAGGTTTTCATTTTTTTATATATTAATTATAATTCAGAAATTATTACTTATCTTAACATTTTTTATAGTTGGGGAAAAATAAACTTTAAGGATGTGTCAGGTGTATAATCTCTACAAAGAGTGACTAGAATTGGAAATGTATACTTTTGGTATAAAAATGAATGTTGTAGATATGCATATGAAACAGTTTAATAAGATTAATATTTCAATATTATAATATTCAATATTACAATTTTACAGGTTAAATTAAAATTTTTTCTTTTTATTTTAATTATTTTTTAAAAATATCACTATTTTTTTTAAATAATTTTTTATTCAGATTCTAAATCGCTATTAAATTTTTTGTATTACTTTTAAATGCAATATAAAAAAATCTGTATTTTTTTAATAATTTTATGATTTTGGTAAATAAAATACGTGTAATACATTCTTAAATTAATTTCAGTTGAAAAACCGAAACTTCAAAATGTCGATGAAATTATAAGAATCTCGTTTAGAAGTCATTTTACGAGAAAACTATTGTACAAAAGATTTCAATACTTACTTAAAGAGAGGAAAAAGACAGAAAATTCAATTGCAATCTGCTTATCTTGAATCGTAAATTAATCGTGGAGCTAATGAGCAAAAACGTATGAAAAATGTCGAAAAATATCGCTAAACGAGAAATGTGACACCCGTGATCACCTTTGGACCTTCCGTTATATTGCTTTTTATTTTGATTATCCAGGCACACAATAGTTTTGATTCTCGTAGGAGAATCATTGACTCCTCTCCATGATATAACGTCTAACATAATGCGCAAAATGTGAAACGTCACTTCTTTCGAAAAAAAACGAGCTACTTAATAGAACCAGTTCTGCCATTCAAGCTTAGGGAAAAAAGTGCTGATTCAAATTACGATTCACGTTCATATCATTTAAATGCCTTGCTAATCTTACGATATCAAGTTTAAAGAGCTTCGAAGAAATAATTGCAAATAAGAATACGTCATTATAATCTTATGTGCTCTCGTGGACGTTAAAAATTTATTAAAATTGTTATATGGCTATTTTTCAACAAGCGTATTTTATCAATTCGATATTTATAACTGATATCAGATACGAATTATACGAACTTTAATGTTTTTTCGAATGATAATGAATTTTCTATCGTACAAAGGACCTATTACATTATTGCTCGTATTCGTAGTCAGACCTTATATTTAAGGCTTCCTTAAATTTATCTTCAGATGCTCTACGAATTATTTTATTGGCTACTGAGCATCTGAAGATAAATTTAAGGAAGCCTTAAATATAAAGTCTGACTATAAATGGACAATGTCATACTTCTTAAGGAAACTATTGGATAAGTTCTCCTTAGCTTTCTCCTGCTGAGGCGACAGTGTATCGCGACGCAAGTTGGGTGTCTCCGATCGTCTTAAGGTTGCGCGTGAATAATGGCTGAGGTAGAAAGCGACTGCGAAAGTACGTAATTAAGTAACAGTTCGCGATGTAAAAGTCCTTTTGTCACGAGTTCTCTCCCGTTCATTCATCGTTGCTTTGTGTTCGCACAACAGAGTTGGATAATGTCCAAAACTAATTGTTAAAATTAATTATTATCGCCTTTGTTTTTCAATTAGTATATACAAGGCATTTCATAATGCATCAATCGCATCTTTAAGAATCTTTTTTAACAATGCAAGAATATTCACATATTTCTAAACGTTATTTTCTATTCCACTTCATTTTTATTATTAAAACGAGTGCATCTAATGAATTGTAATCAATCCTGAAATCGCGATCTCGGATCTATGTTGAATCGTTTCAGTGCACAACCTCACGTTGCACTCACTGCTTTGGTCGGTTTCTCGATCCGATAATAGTGAAAAGATCGATGTGTCACTGATATGGTTGTTTGCTGTAATTATCATGCTGCAGTAATTACCGTTTTGATAGTTACATTTAAATGCTCGAAAATTAATTTCTCTTTTAATCGTTATATTCTTTTCGTAGCAAGCGGTCACAAAAAGATAATAGCGCGCAAGCGATGATAATTCATTTGGCCATTTTGATATTTCTTTCAATATATCTTTTTGGTAGCGATAAATACCACATTAAGTTCACTGATCAATAATATAAATAGTAGTAATGTAAAGTAATAATTGAAGTATTATAACAGTCAGAAGTTCATCTGGTGTCGCTTTGAGACTAATTCGCAGGTCATTTGTTGTGCTTTGTTTTTTATATGATAACGTAATAATGAAATTATTATTTTTTTTATATTATACTAAATAATAAATATCTGGTTCTTTTTAATATTGTAAGGATTTTGAATATTATATTTTTAAATGATGGATTTCAGGCTCGGGCGCCGCCGCTCTGGCGCACCTTGACGGCTCCGGAACGGAAGATGCTGCTGCAGCAATGATCCAGAGGGTAACGGAACTTGCCCTCGGATATCCCGAAGGTCGCCTGGAGCTACAGTTGATTGGTGGCTATTCCGATCCGAGAAACTATTCTGAGGAATTATTTTACAATATACTTTGTACGTAAACATATATTTTTGATGTAGTATTCCTATTATTGAGAAGAAACGTTCATGGGTATTTTCCATTTAGTGACACAAGTTAACACAAATGTCATTCTATTTTTTTCTGACATTTCAATGAGTAACAAAGATAGAACGATATACTTGTGTCGACTTGTATCATCAAACAGGAAGTATCCTCAGAGGATCCTATTTTTACTACATATGATATTATTTACATTTAAATCAGCAAAAATAATTATATCTCCTCTATTCCTTTATTCCTTATTTTTGTCTTTATTCGTAATAGTGAGTTAAATCATTTACTCGCTTTGAAATAGACTTTAAAAAAGATAAACTAAATGGAATTCTCTTTAAAAAAGAAAAAAATATACGTCAAGTGCATAAAAAAGGTATCGAATACATTCCTTTTAATAAAAAACGGATACGAATGCAATTAGCCAAGTATTTCATAACGCAAGATACATAAGATAGATTAATAGATGAATTTTTGAAAACATATAACATCGTCGACGCCCAGCGTCGCCCGGAGTTGTCCGGCATCATTGTAATCGTCCGACGTCGTCGTCATCCAGCGTCACGAATTTGACAACAGCACGAACATATACGCAATGACGTTCACACGTCAAGCGGTCAAGCGGTCCGTTTTATATTTTTATGCTAGTATCGAGATGCTACCGCGTCGCTTGATAGAGCTGAATTTTTATATTACGCGATATCATATTTTTGAAAGAATTTTTAATCAAGATTGATCGAAGGAAATTAATGCTAAGTTCTACTCGAGAAACCACATTAAATTATAGAAACGCCGAAATTTTTCAAGCAATTGCGAAATTGAATAATATTTAAAATAAAACGAAATTCCCTTCTTCAGCTTCGTCTACAAAATATTAATCCGACCAATTGTCTTCTAGCTGCATTTCACAAGCAACCGGTGGAGATCGATCTAACGCTGTGCTGCGTGGGCGAGCTGAATACCACCGTGAGAGGTGGGATTCATTGGCCGTTGATCTACGGTATCGGACTGAACGTGAAGACAGGCGAAATCTTTCCCGCGACTTTCCCTGACAAAGGTCCAGATCAGGCACTAAGGTGTGCCAGACAATTGACCGGGGGTCAGCAGGTGCGTGTACGCAACGTTTGCATTAGTGACACTATTGCAGGTCAACGAGTGATCATGATGTACATTTAAAACAAAAAAAATTACAGCTTAATCTTACAGTGTATAAATAAATATAAAGTAGTGGATGTTAAACGAAAATCGACCGATGAGATTAAACACGTTAAATAGTGTTTTTCATTCATGTGTCATAAAATATTAAGTATTAATAATATTAAATAAAATATTATTAATCGATTATTTATATATAAGTACGATATAAAATTTTATTTAACGTATTCCGTTGAAATTGAATGTATATTCTGTCTTTATACACAGGTTTTGGATATATATGATTGCGCTCTGGGGTTACTTAGAATCGGCCCGTTTAACTACGACCCCTTGCGTGGCGTGGATCTTTGGTTGGCACAAACCGATCAGTTCATCCTGCAGCACCTGTCCACATCACCGGAAGTGGAACAACCACATTTCGTATCACAGGTAACTCCATTTGAAATGCTATACGACATCGTTATCGTTAGTTCCTCGAGAGTAGAAAGCATTAGACGACAAATCCTGCAATTGCACCGTATTTCCCACGCACTGTTAAGCAGTGACGAAATTTCTGTTTCAGGTGCGGGCAACGCTCAAGTATATCCAAGACAATCAATTTCCGGCCGTCACCGTCTTCCGAGATAACCGACCTCATTATTACCGTCGGGACGAAACCACTGGTGTCTGGCAGCCGATGCGATACTAAAACGTTCAACAAGCCGCAGATTCAGTTAGGGCTTGCGTGATGGTTGTTCGACGAAATTTTCGAACGACACGAAGTATAATAATAAATTCACGAATCGGCGAAGCGTACGGAGTAGGATCAAACTATAAAAATATCAATTAGTCGAGTTTGATACTGCATCTTCTGAAGATCGCGGTGTCTTCGTCGGAGTTGTTTAAGCCCTAATGCGTCCGTTTGAAAAAATTGACTAGCATTTACAATTTGTGAGCAAATTGCGGAAGTCGGCGTGCAATAATTGCAGCCCTCGTCAGCTGGCAATTATCAGTGATCGTCGTAAGAAAAGGACGTCCGATTGGGAGGAAGCCGTAGGATCGAATACCGATCGAAGAGGTCATAACCGGCACGTTGATCGATGCCTTAAGGCCTGCTCACATCGGAAGACGTCTCGCGAGCCGTATTGAAGCCAAGGTGCGGATTTGGATACGCATTACCGAATGCGATTTGTAATATTTGCAAATAAAGTTATCAAGACAATAGTTTACTCTGTTATCGAGTAGAGTAAGCTATGAGGCAAAATAAAATAAAAATAATTTTTTGACAAACCATTTTCCGAAAATTTTAATATGCATTATTCTGCATTAAACGCAGATAATGCATATTTTATATATATTCGATCTTTTTAATAATATTTTTTTCTAAATGATATAATACATAAGAAATTTTTCCCATTATATATACTCGCCGAAAATTTTCGATGATTTTATCGAAATTGTTTTTATATAAATTTTTATAAAGCAAGTTTAGATTCAATTTGATCTTTAATTAAAACAGGGGACATAAAAAGACGACTAATTAGAATTAAGAATCATATTACAGATTGAACAATTCATCCCTTTTCAGATTTAATTTTACAAAGGCAGGATATATTGATTTTTAATTATAGATTTCTTAATTACTCGCGAGCTATCATTAGAAATTCCAGACAAAATTATTAGCAGCGTAAGCGGCTGAATCCATAATGGAATCTCGATTTTTCGCTTACTAGGAAACTCTTCTTTTATGACTTAAAAAAGGATATATGATTTTTGGAAAATTTTATTAAAAAAAAGGATTTCATAAAACACGTATTAACATTTCTCTCTTTTCTGTTGCACACATGCATGTACATGCGTGCACTTTTTTTTATTTTAAAAGTAGTAATACATGTGCACATTCATATTCACGTGCAGCGTACGACAACTTCAGTTGTGAATAGGCCTATACGTGCTGAATATATTGGCATTGTTGAATTTGTCTTTTTGTTAGATACTTATATTGTGTGAACGACGATCGAATTTTGGTCGTTATAAGGTGTTATTAGTTATATGCGATCGTTACTCCATCGTTGAACGTTCACTCTGTATTAACTTTCTTCGTTGCCAGAGCGAGAAAATAATGACACTCTCATCGCGCATTTAGCTAAATGTAACTCATTTTTACGTCACACGTGCAATCGTCCTATCGGGTAACTCGATAGTAAAGAATCCCATTTGGTGCTAAACGCGCGATTAAAGACACGACTCAACGTACACGTGCGAGGAGATTTGTCTTTTTTCGCTTTCTTCTTCGTTTCTTTCAGTCGGATTTGCGAAAGTTCGAGCAACGATTAATTTCGTACTTGCCATAATAAAAGGAAGAAAGTTAGACGAAAGATAGAGGCGAAGTAGAAGAAATGATATATATATATAATATTTTCAGGGTTGTGCCCGAGTCTTTCGGGTGAGGGAAAGTTCCTTTGCCTCGACGAAGTTAGTTACATGAGGGAATCCCTTTAAAAATTTATGCACAGATTAGTGATCATGTACGAGCCGTTCATGTCTCGCGGGAATTTTATCAAATTGTGCGTATTATATATACATATGTCGAAAATGCGGAGGAATCTCTTCCAACTTTTTGAAACATTTGAGCGATCACGTTTAATCATTTATATAGGATAACTGTTCATAAAGGTAAAACGTTTCCTGTTGCGTCATCGAACGATTTAAGAGAGCGAAATCGATTGCGAAAAATTGTCGAGATTAATACATAAACGCATAATAGAATGGGACAATTCGATCACTCTGGAGATCGTACGAACGTCCTATATAGATTTTCCTATTTGTTGTTAGAAAGTAGGGCGTGCGATCGCGATCGAAGAATCAAAATGACGAGGCCTTCCCTTACCTGTGGATTCATCGATTAAGCCGAAAGGTAATCACTCTCCTAATAGCATTCGAGAGCACAGCTCTATGGCGAAACTTGCCAAAAAGTTTCATATCTCGACACTCAAATACAATTTTCATGAAAGAATTTAGGATCTCAATAATTCAACATTATTGTCGAGCGTTCTCTCTTTTGAGATGAATATATGATGAAAAAAAATCATTTTTTAATACTTCAAAAATTGTTTTCAAAGCTATGGTCTCGAAGCCGTAGAGTAGTACGTAAAGGAAGGATGCGTTCACAATTTTCCATTGTTCTAGTGATACATAAGCTAATTGAGGTTGATATTATAATAATAACGACGACGACTATTATCATAATGATACTGCATAATGATAATGATATTTCCTAGAAATCGAAGAGATATATTTTTACTATATTATGTAAAAAACAAATGAAGAGCGAATGCACTCGTGACGACGAGGCTCTCAGGATCGAACTTGCGACCCGTTTTCCCTTCCGATTCGATCTACGTGAATAAAAGTATGGCGGATGGTTTGCCATTTACTTTGTTGCTTTTGCCAGGAAAATATACGGCTTTTCTTGCTTGCGTCATGAAAACTTCCCGGTGCAGCAATACAAGTTACATATATATTTGACTTTTCTTTTAAGTTCACCATATCGTTCTTCCTTTTCCTGCCCGAATCTTTTCATTTTTTTTTCACAGTAGCCTTTTTTCGTTCGATCTCTATCGCATTCTTTCTCGCGTTACGCAAACGCAATCTTACTACGTAATATTATTTGGTGATATATTTATACAATAAACGATGATAGACTAAAGCAACACTTGTGTACGTTATTTCACAGCACTATATAAGATCGCTTGCTCAAGATAACAATGGTAACCGATTTCAATCTACTATTGAAAATTATCTCGCATTAACCCACATTCTGCCGATTTGTTATAATAAATTCTTCGTAGCTGATCTAATCGCGAAGAGTTTGCGAATAGCATGTGACTTTATAGGATCAAGTTGCTGAGAAACCACTGAACAGAGACTGGTAACAACATCGTTAACAAAGTTGTGGTCTACTGCACAGTCTATAGCAGTAAACTATTACGTAAGTAAACTACCACACTACAAGGAGCGTTCGTGCATTAGCATGGCTTTATACATACATATTGACATGATTATTAAATACGAAACGCGATAAATAGATATTGATTAATCGGTTGACGGAGAGCACTTTCATTTAAATATTATTCGAGAAAACTGAATCTTTTTAACAAAATATTTTAATTTTATATATGATTACTAGTACAATATTTTATATTATTAATACTATTAATATTATTAATCAGTATAATATTGTATTTTTTGTAATTGTCATCAATGTATATAATTATATAATTTATCGTTATATGTGAGAAGTAAATAGTTTTATAAATATAAAATTATGTTCGAAGATACTTCACTACTGTCTCTTAATTGTGACTTATATAGTCGATGTATTTTAGCTAATTATGAAAGTAGCAAAAATTATGCAAGAAAATAAATTGAATATCTAAGATCAAAGATTTTGCATTCATTGTTTTAATTTATTATTACAACAAGCTGTTTAAAATTTACAGATTTTCTGAATCTTTGGAAAACTGAAAGTTCATCAAGCACTTACGTCATAAATTTTCTCTATTGCATAACTCAAGAACATAGCACATATAATTTGTTGAATGTTAACAGCTTGTGTACATGCGTGGGTGTGTAACCTGTATCCTGCCATGTTGCATGAGAAGTTGTTCGATTGTCAGGGGGAGGAAACTTCCGCTTTCGGAAAGTTTGCTTTGAACGACTTACAAGTTTTCCAACGTGCCTCGCTTTAGCATGGAATCCGAAATTTGCAGCGAAGAAGATAATTACATTGAAAGGTGATCATCCGGAAATAATATTTGTGGAAATTCTGAAAAGTAATTTCGGGTTTTTATATCGACTAAGTCGCAAGAAAAGATCTTTGAAACGTCTTTGAATACTATTTACAAAACTACTTACTTCACACGCAACGATAAATTTGGTATGAGAATCGAAATCGATCGCGTGGAATAATATCGAATTAGCGTATTTTCAATGTGTAATGAAATTGATATACTTAAGCATTCTATCGTAATCCTCCGCATACATTATTAAAGCACAATAATTAACAAAGTATATATTTTATATTTTAATTTAATTCTTCAATTAACAGAAATGTTACGTTAAATTGCGCTAACAACATTCATTAAAGTGAGGACTTATTGGCGAAATTGATCTGTACCGTAGAAAATTAAGGAATGTGTTTTTCGCTTTTGACAAGAAATATAGGCGTATGTTTTATTGGCGAATATTCCGCATATTTCGAATTCGAGGTGACAGGAAAAATGAAAAGAGAATCGTGGAAGAAAGTGAAAAGAGAACAGACTCGTAGAGAACCCGTGGGCGGCGAGTAGTAACGGACGACACGCGCAGACGCCTCGCAAGTGACTCGACCAGACTCGCAGTAGTTGCCGTCAAGCATTTGGTCCGACACGGTCAGTGCCGTTTCGTCATCGGTTCGACGACGGCCCATTCCGCGTTTTCCTTTATCGCGGTCGCTCCACGTTTTCGACATTTGAAGAAGGCTTTGAATGAACGAGACCTCTTCTTCACGGTGAGTTTTATCGCATTTCTTTAAGTATACCATTTTCTAACATTATTTAAAAGATCTTTCAAACTATTTAATTTTGAAAATGGCTCGCAAATTATTTTGATTAAATTGGAAGATGTGTCTTCTTTCGAAAAAGTTGCGATACATGTCGCATGTTAATTAATCGTTTCATTTCTTCTCTTCAGATTTTAAAGTAAATACAAATTTACATGCGTTAACGAATATGTGCTCTGCTTTTTTGAAGTAACAAGTAATGTAATCTGAATATGATGACTAAAAATAATATTGTAAAGTTGGTTCCAAGAAAAAATAATAGAAATAGCTGCTCATAACAAAAATAAGAAATAATTGAATTAGAATTAAGGACTATATATAATTCTTCTGTATTCTTTTCAATGTAATTTGTAAATTCTGTGTAAATAATTTAAAAACGAGTGAGAAATAACACTAAATCTTAACACATGCAATTTTAAT